CCGTCGGTCCCGCCCTCCCGTCGGTCCCGCCCTCCCGTCGGTCCCGCGCCACACTCGCTGGCCCCGCCCCGCCTCCTCGCTGGCCCCGCCCCACCCTCGCTGGCCCCTCCCCGCCGCTTCGCTGGCCCCGTCCCGTCTCGCCCCTCGCTGGCCCCGCCCCACCCTAGCTGGCCTCGCCCTACCCCGCCCTCTCCCTTGGTAGCCCCGGTCTCGTCCCGTCCCGCCACCTCTCTGGCCCCGTCCCGTCTCCTCGCTGGCCCCGTTCCGTCTCGCCCCTCGCTGGCCCCGCCCCGTCCCCCCCCCTCCCCCCCCAGCCCCGGTCCCGCCCCGTCCCGCCCCCTCGCTAGCCCTGCCCCACCCACATGCTCCGCCCCGCGCTGGGCTCGCTCCCCCTTCCAACTCTGGAGCTTCCTTCCCGGTCGCGTCGGGCGCAGCCGCGCGCCGCCCCCGCACCCTGCGTCTGCTCCAGAAGCCATCCTGCCTCCCCCCGGTCCCCAGAGTCGTTCTGCCGCCTCCCCGTCTGCTCTGTGGAGCTGTCCCTTCACGGTGGCTTGCGTCTTTAAAACCAAGCTTGTGTTGGTTCCTCCTCCTCCTGCAGCACTTTTGCTGGACGTTTGGGACGAGACGGAGGCACGTGTCCGCAAGTGGGGGTAGGGGGAGCTGCGCCCCGCTCGGCCGGCCTCTGCGGTGACTGGAGGACTCTCCCAGAGGACTGGGAGGCTCCCAGGCCCTTCATTCCTTCAGCGCTTTCCAATAGCAGAGCGCGGGGCTCGCCTTTCCTGCGGGTCACTGTCCGCGCACATTAAAAGAAAACATTTTGGACCCCTGCTACGATGTGCGGGGATTACCTGGTCCCGCCAATCTCGTTCGAGGTCGAGCCACCTTTTCCTGAAGGCTGCCCCCGACGCCCAGCACTCCCTTCCTCCGGAGCTGGGACTTCCAGCCTTGGGTTTCTCCCTTCTCAGTTTCCTCTGTGTTTTCCTCTCTACCTCCATCTCAACTGTGGACTTTCCCTTAGGCTGAAGAGTCCGGTGTGGTGGATCCCCTCACTGTGTGACCTCCCCCAAAACCTCCCGCGCAGGCTGCAGCAGGCATCTGGAACACTCCACCCTAGTGATTAGTCTTCTTGATTGGCTTGTCCTCTCTGCTGCCTGTCTGACCCCAGACCAAACTACTCTGCTCCCAGAACCAGCTCGTCACGATGGTCTCCCTGTCTGCACAGGAATTGCCTCTGTCCAGTGATGGGAGTCAGGGGAACTCTAAGTTCCACGGGACCTGGAAGCTCTCCCCATGAACAGGACTCCCTCCTGTCCTAGTAAACACTAACAGGTCACTTGTGAAACTGAGTGGAAGTGTGCTTTCTTGCTGATGTCATCTCCAACATCAAGTGAGGATCCCAAAACCACTCAAAACACTTGAACCGTAAGAATTCCTTAGTTCTTAAATCAGCCATGACATCTTAAAAGCTATCTCTATCGGTGAAGTTTCTGGGACCAATGTCACGTACCATGAAGCATGCTAGCTTAAGACACCCCCTACTATGTGTAGATACTGGGAACGTAAGGCAGGGGCAGCGAACAGCACAAAACGTGAGGAAATCAAGTTTCTGCTCTGCCCCTGGCTGGTAGGAACTCAGACCAACCGGGAAAGTTAGGATAGGGTCAAACTTTTAGACACTGGAGAGTCCCTGAGAGTTTTTGAACCAAGAAGTGATCCTAGCAAACATCTGCTGAGCGCTAAGCCAGGCCCTGTGTTAGTTAAGTGCATTACCTGAAATAATTTTATCTTCTTGCTGTCCCTAGTTTCACAGAGGAGGAAACGGAGGCTCAGAGAAGGTAAACGACTTGTCCAAGGACACACAGTAAGGGGCAGGACTGGGAGTCCAACTAATGCGAAATCCAAATTGCCACTCTCTCCCTTTGGCAGGAGAGCGGGTGCAACTTTGGGATAGGCAACTGTGCTGTTGCTGGGACTGGCCAGCAGGAGCCGCCAACCCTCTCAAGAGCAGGGCAGAGGAAGGAACTGCCCAGTCACCTGGGTCTGGGAAGTATGCTTCAGGTCAAGGTCTCCAGCCTTTGGGTGAGATAGGATTCTTTGGGTCTTCTTTGGCTGGACGCTCCTCTGACCAAGACTGACAATCAGTGTCAGGTCTTTTATTAAGACAAATGCTGTGCTTCTTTCTCTGCCCCTCTCCCGTTCATGCTCTGTCTCTCTCTGTCCCAAAAATAAATAAAAAACGTTGAAAAAATAAAATAAAAAAAGGGGCGCCTGGGTGGCGCAGTCGGTTAAGCGTCCGACTTCAGCCAGGTCACGATCTCGCGGTCCGTGGGTTCGAGCCCCGCGTCGGGCTCTGGGCTGATGGCTCGGAGCCTGGAGCCTGTTTCCGATTCTGTGT